AACTGTGTTTTGGCGTACAATTTTGGCTTACGTAGAGTTTGTGTATTTTATTTGTGGTTTTGGAGTCAGCATAGCCTACATTTGAGTTTTCTAGCATTTTATTCAGATGCTGTAGGCATCTAATGATGATCTGTACATATCTGACGTAGCAGTAGCGTCAGATAAGGCAGTTATACATTTCGTACACAGGAACAAATATGCTTGCACAAACAGGCCTTACAAACGAGGTATATGATATCACGATTTTTTACAGGTTAGTACCGTTGCTCACCTGCGAGACTGGATCTCTGGATCTGCTTTTAAGGTGTTTCTTTAGAACGGCCGGTCGTTTAGTTATAGGGACCTATATTTCGCAACGTTTGTCCTTTTCCGTAGTGCTTATAGGTAGGAATGCCAGTCATTCACAAAAATACGTTAGAAGGGACAATCAGGCATATTACGAATTATGTGAGTTGTATTTTATTTCGGGACTCGGCTTTGTCTAATCTTAGGCATGTGAATTGCGTAGTTTAATTTAGGTTTTGCGCACATAGTTTGAACAAGATCGTACGAATCATTAACATTTGTTCTTCAAGAGAATTTTCACGGGGTCCTAGTTTTTCGATTCAAGTTTGCAAACATTAGTATACAAAGGAATAACATCTACAGAAGAGAAGCGAAGATATCAGCCGTTGCGGAATATGCCATACTAAAGCCATGTCATGCAGTGGGATGCAGGCAACATCGTCCATACGAAGCCAACTGGCAGGAAAGAAAGATCTTGACTGTTAGTGTGAAACCGACAAAGCAAGTTTAGCAGGTTGGAAAGATAGACGAAATCAGTTCAACAGGACATCCTTTGTTACGTGACTATATTACTTGAACTGACGTACGTTTTTCTTTACAAAGCCATCATTATGTTGCAATGTTACTTTAATTGCATGAACATTCAAATTCATTAAGAAATAACACGACCTCGTCACCAGAACAGAACTCGTCATAAAAAAAATTCAGAGCAACCTCAGCAGGTTTGACTGTACCCTCAGATGTAACCTTGAGATTGAAGATCGTTGCACATTTTGCTGCCGATTCAATACTGATGGCGTACTCGCTGAATCCGAGCTAAACTATTTCGATGATAAAAATATTTTTATTTAAAAATTAATGTTTGTAAAGTTTAATCGAAAACCAGCGCGTAAATCCTCTTGAAAGTTTCTCTGGAAGGAGACTGCTACATTTAAAAGTACTACGGGCACTTTAAAAGAAAAGACATAATCATGAATCAGTTGGTATTTGTGGGCAGTTTGTTCGTCCATACATTGTTTACCAGAAAGACCACGAAAGGTTAACCATAGTATAATTAGCGATATTCGTTTTTAAACATTGGTTTTATGAAACAGAATGCGATATAGCCATCAGTCCGGCAATTGATTGATACCGAGGTTTCCGCTGTATCTCTTGGCGACCTTCTTCAAGGTAAATTTCCTACTGAAGTTCAATTTTTGAAGAAATTGTCGATATTGTGCCTGATGCAGA